ATTAAATACAACTCGTGCAATGGAAATATATTTATAATTTTCGACAAATTTGCACTCATGCGTTTTTAACTGAAAAAGGCACTCGTGCTCTTTTTCAACTAAAAATGCATTCGAGCAAATTTCTCAAGAATTATCAATAATTTCCATTGCACTAGTTATATTACTATTGATAATATCCTTAGTTTGTGTTTTCCTCATGTTTTTGAGTAATCTCCAACTTTCTGTGTTTCTTTTACACCCCAGATAAGTATTAATATGCGCACAGTTTCTTTCCCATAACTCGTTCTTTTTGTTCACTATTTTATTCCGTACTCTTGCTTGTGCTTCTTTATATATTTCTTTGTCTCGTGTCTTATTTGAAGTTAGATACTGTTGGTATTTCTTCCTTTTATCTTCTATGTCTTTCTCTATTTCTTGGTCCCACCAATAAGGTGTGGGTCTACTTCCGTTTTTTTCATATTTGCTAAGGGCTTCAAATGCTGCACTGTGAATACTTTTTTATTATTATTATATAGCATTTATTGTTGTTAATCTTTCAATTTGTACATTTATGACTTATCCTAAACAATAAATACAGGGTTTTCCCACAAGAGAATCCTCGTACGTGGGAATATATACATATATACAACATAAGTATTCAATATCTAATCTAATTCTAATCTAACCCAATAATTACAATAAATTAATCTATTTCCTGATATTTCTTACCAAATAAAAATTCAGGCAACCTTAGGAATCCTCTACAAGAGTGGAACTCGCGCGTAGAATGGGATATAAGGTCCCCCGAACAATCACCCAGGAAAATGACCAATCAACTACCTATCAGTTCATATAAATATATATATATATATATATATATATATATATACATATACATATATATATATATATATATATATATATACATATATATATTTTTGAATTATTTGTATATAAAGCTAACCTAAAACCCACCCAAGAAAAATTTGATGGAGAGTAACAAAAACAATGATAGCAAAATTTCAAGCCTGATGGGACACATTTTTACCATCTTGAAGGCGAGGAAAAAGAACGTATGGATTCTAATTATTTTTGAAATCTATTATGCTATGAACCTCATCTCGAGTTATCTGGGTTCTAAGAAATAATTTTAGCTTGTATTTAAAAGCTAGTGTGGACGGAGTATGAAGAAATATTACGATTTTTGAATAAACTGTGGGAGCTATGAACTGAAAACATCTTTGACCTATAGTTTTTGAGACTCTCTCTGATATGTTGGTAATGCATTTCAAGGTTTTGGAAGTTCATACTACCCTGTAATTTTTGATCTAATCTCTTCATATACAACCCTTTCACGCTTTGCTCTTCTAGAGATTTTAGGTTGTATTTCTCAGACACAATATTGTCTTCTTGGTTTTGCATTCTGTTTTCTTTTGCGGTGTTTCTGCCCGGGATAAAGATTTTTGTTTTTAGAAAGTAATGATCGCTACCACAGGGCGCTCCCCTATATGCTCTCACATCCTGGAATTTTATGTTCGACTTCTGTTTTGCGATAGTGTAGTCAATAATAGATTTTTGTTGTCTAGTTTTTTTCCATGTGTAGCTATGTATTTCTTTATGCTGAAAGTAACCGTTTAAGATTTTTAGGTTATTTTGTTGGCATATTTCTATGAGCCTTTCTCCATTGTTATTCGTTACATTCTCTCCGAATTTTCCGATCACCTTGTCGTTGTTTTTTCTTCCTGTTCGTCGGTGAAGTCTCGCAGCAATATTGAAGTTCCTACTTTTATGATTTGGTCACTGAGTTGTTGATAAAATGTATTATTTATATCAACGGGTTCGTCGTCGTTCACTCCATATATTCCCACGACTGTTATTTTCCTCCCGAACATACATACATTTAGTTTTATTATGGTTTCGTTTACTGCTTCCCATGATGTTATATGTTTTCGCCATTTTCTGTGTATGAAGATCGATACTCCTTTCTTCGCTCTGAGTTCTTTTTGAACCCCGCTAAAGAAATGATCGTACTCTCCCAGATTTTCTGAGCCCTGTCCTTTCTTTTTGGTCTCTGTGGCGACAAGCAGGTCCATTTTTTGATATTTTATCTCTGATATCACTTCATTCAATTTTCTAGAGATTTCTTGGACGTTCCATGTACCGATACTCATTGTCCGTTTCCGTTGCCTAGTTCGTCTTCGTTTTTCGGTCCTGTTCCGAGGCTGTTGATTGGGTCTTTTAACAGTCTAAAGTTTTTTCCGAATAACAGGGAGTTAGCCCGATGCCTCAACCCCCTACCAGGAGGACCAGGTAGTTTGTGATCAAGGTTATCTTTCTCTAGCCTTTGATGATTCAACATCCAGCTACAAGGCAGCAGCTTCTTTGCCAGTTCACTTTCAACTTGATGTTAATTGATTCTGGTGGCTACAGACGGTATGGCTGGCCGAGCGTACCATAGAAGGGGATTTGGAAGAATATATGGTCTTAGGCAGCAATAAAAGCGTACCCCTGATCTGACAGATAGATCACATTTTTTGATGGTGTTATTATGCTACCATTTATAGTAAAGGGTGTGATCTTTTTTTTTTGTTAAAGTGGATGATGTTAGTCTTGTTATGGTTTAATTTTAGCTTCTATTTATGGCAGTATTCATCTATTATCCTGGTGTGTTGTTCTACTTTGGATGCTGAGATGTGGGTTCTTCTTGATCTAGTGAATATTGCTATGTCGCCGGCATAGACCGCAATGTTGTGTCTGGTCTTTTTGGAATGTCATTCAAGAAGATGTTAAAAAGAGTAGTTGATAGTACACTGCCTTGAGGAAGGCCCTCAGTAATGGATCTAATTTCTGCTGTGCTATTTCTGATGCTTACTGCAAAGCTCAGACTAATAATAAAACTAGAGACCAAACATGTCATTTAGAAATCGCCCAATGTTTACAATTAATCATCTTTTAGTGCATGACATAAGTAAGAGGGAGATAGACCTATAAAACGGCAACACTGTGCAGTGGTCGTTTCCTCCGATTTTTTCCCAGAATTCAATGGAAGTTTTACTCACAATAAATTACCATAAATATCCTCTTACTACGCCAATGTCAAGAGTAAAATGATGTCAAATCTCTTACCGCCGAAATATTGAAATGTGCTTGGCTTGGAATCATTACAAATAATACATCAACGTACAGTGTGGTCATTTTATCTTGATAACATTTTAAACTGTCATAATTTCTTTATTTTTAAACTTATTCAAATAAATAAAAAAACACACTGTAGGGTGGTTTTCCAAGTTTTAGATCGAGTGGACAAAAAACAAAAGACTAATATATTTTGACAGTTATGCGCACAAATAGCATTTTCTCGAATGGAACACCCACTAATTTTTCAGTTTGTTTGATAATATGTTTTATTCTGATTGCAATGTATACAATACGATACACTGGAATACAATTCACTTTATATTTACAGGCAGAAATGTTTTATTTATTCGAACTGAAAATATTGATTACCTACACAGATTACCTGCAAAGGTAGGTAGGTAAACAGAATTTCCCATTAGAATAAATAAAACATTTCTGCATGTAAATACTAAGTAAATTGTATTCAATTGTATTGTATATAGTGCAATCAGAATGACACATATTATCAAACAAACTAAAAATTTACCGGGTGTTCCATTTGAAAAAATGCTACTCGTGTGGATAACTGTCAAAATATATTAGTCTTTTGTTTTTTGTCCACCCTATCTAAAACTTGGAGAACAACCCTACAGTATGTTTTTTTATTTATTTAAAAAACTTCAAAAATAAAAAAATTATGACAGTTTGAAATGTTATCAAGATAAAATGACCACCCTGTACATACCATTTCAACGTTCTCCACCACACTTTCCACAGTTTTCAATCCAGAAATACGACTGATTAACACTCAAAATTACAAAATTAGCTCTATCACTTCACAGCAACACTGCCAAATCCGTCATGGATGACATAAGTCACATAAGATCATCTTATTGGCTGCTTGTAGATGCAGCGTTGCCGATGTACCATTTTTTCAGCAATATATTCCTGTGTTATTCTAGAATTTTCACCAATATAAATTAAAAAACGACTAACTATCCTATTTAAAAAGGCATTTAAGTTATGTTTCAACAAAGATTGACATAAAAAAGCTATATTTAGAAATATTAATTATCCGTGAAGACATTTAATATTAAAAATCACATCAGATTATTGACAACCAGGCATTTTATGCAAAAATGTGTGCTGCAAAGCGTCTGCTACTCAGGAAGCTATCTATTATCTTAGTTAGAGCTGGCTTGATGTTCATTTCCATCATCTTGTATATGAACGCCCTCCTCCAACAGTATAGTAGGCTTTCTCCATATCTAATGTGGCTAGGTTGATCGTGTTGTTTATGTTATTTGATTCCATGGCGTAGTCTACTCTAGCTAGTTGTCATTCAGTAGATCTGCTTGGTCTGAATCCAAATTGTTCTTCTTTAAGAACATTATTGTCTTCCAGGAACTTGGTAATCCTTTTGTTAAAGATTCTTTCCAGAATTTTGCCAAGGTAGTTCAGGAGCGAGATTGGTCTATAGCTCTCGGGCAGTTTCTGGTCTTTTCCTGGTTTGGGAAATAGTGTAGCTTTATGTACGCGTTGTAAATGTATGTGAGTTGTACTACTGCTTTCCTTGGTAGGAATTTGCAGTCTTTGGCTACTATTTGGTCCTTCCCCGCTGATTTCAAAGGTTTGGACTTTGCTATTATTCTGTGGACTTCCCTGGGGCTGCAGATATCGTCTGTATTATTTGGTTCAGTGTGTATCAGGTTCCAGTTCTGTTGCTTTGCTGGTTTTTGTGAATTGGTTTGCGCAGGCATTTGTTTTTCCTATGTATCTGTTATGGTGGTTTGGGTTCCTGTGTCATCTAATATATCGTCTGCTGAGTCTACCAGCCCCTCTATCCGACGTGTTTAAAATCGTTGCACATATTTTTAATTGTTTTGATGCCCCTTTATGAACAGTATAGTTGTGTTTTGTGTCAAAATCTTGGTACAAGTGTGACCTACATAGTGGCCCTAATTTCAAAACGGAATTACCTGGTGTTAGCCGCGAATCCTAATTTTTATTGTGAACAATGGTCGGAATGCGCAAATAATAGGTGAATATAAACAAACTCATACCCAGCATACCTGCCTTATCAATTTTGAACTTGATTTTTCGTCTGTAGAGTTTTCGCACCATCCGCGCTATTTTTATTTTTATTGTTGGGTTTGGGACAGCGCAATTTATATTTTGATTTTGTTCGACTCCAACAATGGCATCTAAATGTGCTGTCTGTCATTCTGATTGTATCCTTAAGCGACGCCCTGTTCAAATCTGTCTGCCAGCGAAGCTGATGCTCTAATTGTACAGAACAGATCCATAATTTTTTTCTGTAGTAGCTGTAGAGAAGCGCTCTCCGACTTTGACCAACTTTTGGTGAAATATGAACAAGTCAGGTCTGATTTACAACGAAAAGACAATTACATTAACAACTTGGAAATGGATTTAGAGGATCTTAAGCGATCACTGAGTCACGAGATTGACAGACTATCCTTGGAAAATGGATCAAAGAACGATCACATCAAGAGACTCGAAATGAGAACGAAAACAATGGATGGAGTGCTTCAAGCAGAAAACAATTATGGAGGCGTTATGGAAGAAACTGCTTTAAATGACGAGCTTCAGTCCTATAAGGAAAAATATTCTAAGCTCGAAAAAGACTTTGAGGACCTCAATGCAATAAGCAAAAATATGATTAATTCCATTAGAGCCTTAGAGAGCGAAAACCAGGCTTATCACAACGAAGTCTGCCTCTTGAAAGTGCAGTTGAATGAGCTCACCTTCGAAAAAATATGTGATGAAGCATCAACACAAAAAGAACCATCAAGAATTGTAACCCGACAAGCTTGTGTAGAAAAAACTTCTAGGAAGATTCTCATCCTAGGTGATCAGTCTGTCAAATACCTAAACAGACCAATGCGAAAATACTTCAAAGAGGATGTGTCCATACTGACCGTGACCAAGCCAAATGCATCCTACAGGAATGTTATTGAGAATCTGAGTGGTTTGGTGACAGGTTTCACAGAAAACGACTTTGATATCATTTGCTGTGGTTCTAATGATCTTGCTCGCGGTAAATATCCTAGTGTGCGTCATATCAACAACAGTATTAAATCTTGTTTACATACTAATATAATTTTTTTATCATGTCCTATTTTAGTTGATAAGTTTACTCATAACGTATTATCTTTTAACTTGAAGTTTAGTAAGTTCATAGATTTTGTAAATAGATTTGTAAAAAACCATATTATGTTTCTGGATAATTTGGATAAATGGGGCAGCAAATTAAATAATTCTAAACTGTCTCATTCCCTGATAAACATCATCAAAACCTCAAAGAGCAAAACCACAAATCTCATTCATATCACATGTAGAGCAATAAACAATAGAGAAAATCCTAGAGTAAATGCTTCTCCGGAAAGGGGACTTCATAACAATATAGCACAAAAAGTCTCTGAGAGTCATAACGTATCTATGGACTCAAACGCTGATGTTGTTTTGACCAGTGATAATTCTTTTTTAGAAGTAACATCAATAGACTAAGTGTTCTTCTATTGAATATCCAATCAATTAGAGCTAAAACGAGTGAGCTGGAGCTGTTTCTGGAACATCTTGGCTATCCGGCAGTTGTATTAATTACCGAAATTGGTTAAGGGATGATGAACCGGTTCACATTTCTGATTATAGTGTGATGGCCAAGTACGGCAGAGGCAATTCTATTCACGGTGGTACCATGATCTTTGTACGTGATTGTGTCCCAAAGCAATTTAATTTTAAGGAGGTAAAAGCATATTCTGACCTTTGTGCTGAGCTGAGCTTTGAATGTTCTGATGTCTTCTAGCATTCTAAATTTATTTGTTATATGTATTTATCGTTCTCCAAATTCATGTAGTGATACTTTTCTCATGAAGTTGGAATTACTCTTAAGCGCCTTACCGCCTAGGTCATCTGTTATTATAGCGGGTGACTTCAATGTTAATTATGCGGAAATAAACCAAGGAATAGTCAAGTCACTCAAACATTTGTTGTGTTCATTTGGTTTGAAGATGCATGTTAATGATTTCACAAGGATTACACAAAATTCTGCATCTATCTTAGATTATGTGTGAAGAGGGTGTATTTTGTTCTGTGCTTAATCCTGGTCTGTCCGACCATGAAGCAGTGTTTTGTGAATTTTGTACTCAGGATAAGCTGCTTAAACCAACAAGAAGACGTGGTCGCATATTTTCCAAAAGAAACTTTATGGCATTTTCGCATGCTTGCTTGGACACCGACTGGGAAAAACTCTGTAATGGCGAGCAACCTTTGCTGTCGTTTTACGATAGTCTGATAGAAATTTTTAATGCTATATTCCCCATTGTGCAGGTAAAATCTAGAGCCAAAAAACCTTGGATAACTGAGGGTCTAAAAGTTTCTGCAAGAAATATGAGATGTCTGCACACTCTCCGTAAATTTTCACTGAGCAATGCATTCTTTATGAATTATTTTAACAAATACCGACAGATTTACCGAAGGGCTATAAAACTTGCTAAGGATAAATATTATGCCGATAGGCTGAAGTCTGCTGGTAACAAACAGAAAGAAACATGGCGCATTGTTAACTCCCTGCGAGGCAAAAACAAAGTGGATAATAATTACAGCTCACAATTGGATGCCAACGCAATAAACTCTTTTTATTGCTCAATTGCCTCTCAGCTTGGCAGAAGTATTCCGTGTACCTCGGCTCACCAACTATCTCACCTGGAGGTTAAGTCTGGAGATTCATTTTACTTCACACCTGTAGTTGCTGAGGAGATTTTAGGCATTTTGGGAGAGAGTAAGAGTAGAGGTTCATCAGGCTGGGATGATATCTCAACAAGGGTTCTGGCAAATCTACCCATATCAGCTCTGTCAACATTAGCTCATTGTATTAATACCTCTATTTTGAGCGGCGATTTTCCAGATCTGTTGAAGCGAGCTATTGTGCTTCCAATCTTTAAATAAGGGGAGGATGTTGCCTCTAATTACAGACCAATATCCCTGCTGCCTTCATTATCAAAAATTGTGGAAAAAGTGATTAAAAAAAGAATGGTTCACTTTTTGGAAGCAAAAAATATTTTAAATAAGTCCCAATTTGGTCTTCCAAGAACACAAACGATGCAATCTTCCTCATTCTGGAGAAACTCTACCTGGGACTAAATGATGGGGAAGTGGCTGCGGTAGTGTTCTGCGATCTAGCAAAAGCCTTCGACTGTGTGTCGCATGAAATACTGCTGCAGAAACTTGAATTCTATGGCTTTAGGGGATGTGTATTGAGTTGGCTAAGGTCTTATTTGTCCAATAGGTGTCAGATGGTTCGTTTTGCTGATTGTGTGTCAGGGGAATTAGGTATCACAGCGGGTGTGCCTCAGGGCTCTGTACTTGGTCCGCTCTTATTTCTCATCTATGTTAACGACTTACCATTAATAATCAGAAACGGCCATTGTACATCCTTTGCCGATGACACTACTCTGCTTTGGCATAGCAAGGATCCATATAATCTTAGTGAAATGATAACCCAGGATCTGGCTAGTCTGAAAAGATGGTGTGACAGCCACTGTTTATCTTTTAATGTATCAAAGACAAATATTTTAAATTTTAAGTGTATGTTAAATGATATTTGCTTAGACTCTCAGCCAGTCACGAAGACAAATTATAATAAATTTTTAGGCTTAGTTATCGACGATAGGTTAGGGTTTGACAAACACATTGAGCAGCTTTGCTCGAAACTAGCATCAGGCTGCTTTGCAATAAAAACAATTAGGAGTGACCTGAATGTTGCAGTGGCTAGAGATGCGTATTTTGCTTTAATTGAGTCACATCTAAGATATGGTGTATGCTATTGGGGTAATTCATCCGCTTATCTTTTGAATTCTTTGTTTGTTTTACAGAAGCGTGCCCTAAGGTGCCTGTGCGGGCTTAGTTTTAGGACGTCGTGTAAACCATATTTTATTAGTGAACGAATTTTGACTCTTCCAGCAATTATTATACTGGAAACTGTCTGTTTTTTAATCACTTACCAATGTCACTTCGGAAGATAGTGTCATACAGATTATTTGGGCGACAGGTAAAAATGTTGTTGCTTGAAAAGGCATATTATAGCATGGAGGAATACTTCCTTGACCATTTTTAGATTTTTACATTTACGTTTTTGTGTTTGTCTTGTGGTTTGAACTTGTTTGTAACATATTATTTTATTTTATTTTATATAGTATGCTTGTATAGTTTATATTCTTAGCACTAAGTTTGGCTTCAACAATTGTTTTTTTGACAATAAAGCATATTTGATTTGATTTGATTTTTTGATATCGGAGGAATGTTTTGGGGACTGTTGCGGTTCCTGTAACCTTTAACGTCCTTCCATATATTGCCGTTATCGTTGACTGTTTGTAGTCTATGGTTCCACTTTTCGTTATAGTGTGATCATATGAGTTCTTTCACCAGGGCGCTTTGGTCAACGTATCCTAGCTTGTCGAGAATATCCCTTGTTCATTGGTATCTGGCTCTAAGGTGATTGCGTCTGTTGACTTCCGTTTGTTTATTTTCCGGAAGTTTTTGCGTTCACTTTTGGTATATGGTTATGATTGCTTCCACAATTCAGGCACTTGATAGCCTGTCTACAGTTCCTTGATCCATGGCCCATGCCTTGGCATCTATGGCATTGGGTTATGGTGCTTCTCTTATAGTAGGGGAGCCCAAGAGGGGATTTTTGGATTTACTTGAGCGCGTCAGTCTAACATAAGGAAAATATTTTGTGCCCTGTTCAGTGCCTACACCATATAGGAGTTATATACAGGGTATACCATTTAAAACGAAACAGGCTAAATATCTGATATCACTAGTGTTTGAAACATTTTCAGCACTAACTTAACCCTCAAGCGGGGGTGGGACCAACCCTTACCATTCCAAATGGAACAGGGGTTCGAGTGATACCTCTTTCAAAAGAGCCCTCAATTTTTTTTCACTCGAACCCTTGTTCCATTTGAAATAGTGAAGGTTGGTCCCACCCCGCCTAGAAGGTTGAAGTTGATATGCTGAAAATAATTGCAAAAAACTCCCCCTTCGAAAATCAAATTACATGTACGACCGATTTAAAAAAAAAAAAATGTGGCATCAAATATTTGGCCTGTTTCGTTTTAAATGGTATACCCTGTAATATAGGGGTGTACGGTTAGGTCAGCCGATCAGAATAGTGAAAAAAACGATCGTCAGAAATACTCGAGCGCGTCAGATTAATGTGAAGTAAGTTAATTGCACGCTAAAAAGTGTGCTTTTTAATAATCTGACGATTTGAGCGTGACATAAGGGAGTGGGAGGGTCACAAACTTGCAAAAAAAAAAAACGTTACTTTGACATTCTCGAGCGCGGTCAATTTTTTTTTTATTTTGAAGGAAATAATTTAAGAATAACGATAAAAATATAATCTGACGATTTCCACAAGCCGAAATGACAAAAATAATTGATATAGTTCATCTGTTTCCTTTCCACATTTTTTTCTATCTCTCACTCACTCACTGCTTCCCGTCACCATGACGCTATCTCTCACTCTCATGCACCATTCTTATACTGCTTTCTGTGGCTCTGACGCCAACCTAGCTCTCACTCTCTCGCACCATCCTCACACTACTTTGTGTCACCACTCGCCATGACAATACAATACAATACAAGTCGTTTATTTTCATTGACAATGCTAATAGAGAGTTATTGGAACTATTAAATACTGCCTCGCAGTATTAAGGATCTACGTTATTTTATTAGTGCATCAGCACTATTTTTCCAAGAAAAAAACAGTTATTGGAAGACTGTAGTAGGTGCTAGAGTATTACCTAATTTTTTATTCATAATTTTGACAGCTGATAGCTATGTTTATAAATTTCAGCCTCAAAAAGGGTTTATTTTTGTTTGTGATTTTCTGCTGGTACCGATTTTTTTATGTTACCTACAGTAAAATGGAAAACTATTGTAAAAAATAAATTTTCTAAGTAAAATTACGTCATCGTCGAAAAGCGAAACGTCAAAGTCATCCAAAATGTCAGAAATTTAAAATAAGGGAAGTTTACTGCCTCGCACTAACCATACACAAATAAAGACAAGCAGTAACCTTATTAGGGGAATTCTTATTTTCGGACCCAAATGCGCATGCGTAGATGTCAAAATAAGGCTAATTTAAATACTGCTTGTCCTTATTGCACGTCCAATAACTCTCTAATATCGTATAGGAATAGTCAAAATCTTAATCCTAACCTCACAGAATGAAAGAAAAAATATAAAACAAGAAATTGAATGGAAAAACTTAAAATTACAAAATTAATTTTGGACTAGCTTAAGGTCAGTTGGGGTAAGTGCGTATTTGGGGTAACAACGTCCGGTTCATATAATAAAAGAATCATACAGATTGCTGACTGCAAAACTGTGTTAATGTGCTGTGTACAAAGTACTTTTAGCGTAAAAAATATCTGGCATTATTGCGCCGTACCATAAGTCAGCTGTCACAGTTCTAACCGTACGGTACTATTTGAAGTTGGAGAGCGAGTAGGTGAGTATTTTATGAAAAATCCCTAATTTTTAAATTTTATGCCATAATTTTAATTTTATGGTGTAGGTGGGATTAAATATCAATAAAGTAAAGGTTGTTTGATATTTTTAAGTTCCAAATGTTTCTAAATAGTAAGTACAGCTGTGGACGCACTTACCCTATTCTTTTAGAGGGGATATATTCCTAAGTTTCCCTTGGTTGACGACATTTTCGTCGTGTTCGAAACACACATTGTGAAGTTGGTGCCTATTCCGAAATTGATTGGCGATGAGAAATATCATTCCAATTATCATTTAGTGTATACACGGTAGAATAAAGTTTTTAAGCTCGTTTATTCTAAGTTTAGAATCACCTTTAAAGTTTAAAGTTGTCATTTAATACTGTTACAGCTACCTAATAATTTTTGTTTATTTTTGCTTAAATGTGTCTTATTTATTTAAAACGATTGTGTTTGTAACTTTGTTCAGAATAAAGATATTTTAGATTAAAAAAAACCATTTTGTTCCAAAAAATATGACTAAGAAGCTCTTACCCCTAGCTTCACTCTATGTGTCTTAGGTAAAAAGATATATTCAAATTCGCACTTACCCCCATGTTTCGGGGTAAGTGCGTGCACTGGGCCTAATTTTTAAAAAAATCGTAAATTTTAAAAATTAATCTATAAATAAATGTGGTTTAGGCTTTAACTCATAGTTATGGCTTGTATAAATAATATGTGAACATATTGCGATCACCTAAAAATATTCAGAAGTGTAGAGGAAGAATATATTTGAAGTCGCTAAATTTTGTGTCGCACTTACCCCAACTGACCTTATATGTAATAATTGGTAAGTAATCTACCCGATAAAAAGTTTTCTCTATTAAAAATGTTTTTAACATGTTTAAATTGCTTTAAAGATTTACAATTCTTAATGTTGTTCGGTAACTTATTATAAACTGAGGGCCCAATATTTTGGGGAGAAAGAAAGGCCAGTTTGGATTTGCAAATATTTCTAGTGTTTAAGTTATTTATATCACAGTTTTTTTTGTTTTTTTTTAATTTATCACAGTTGAAAACAAATAGACAGATTTCGTACAAAAATAAAGACAGGACAGTTAAAATATTAATTTTTTAAAAATATTCCATGACCGCAAAATACAACATGACAGCTGATCACATCCAGCTTAACGTGTTCGCATATACGTATTTTAATCATAGAAACATTTGATAAAGAATAAATGAAATAGAAAAAATTCTTCCCCGTTATTTTTCACTACACTATCTTTAATATGTCAAAATTCATCCAAATCTGTCCAGCCGTTTTCTCGGAAAATAAAAAAACCGTCAGATAAAGAAAACCCCTTCACATAATCGTCAGATTTTGGGCTAGCACGACTAGAACGTCAAGCTGAACCAGCTGTGTGAAAATCTGACGCGCTCGAGTATTTCAATATAGCGATTTTTTTTTTCGTTTCGAATAAGCCGCTACGAGCTTGCGTCACTTCCGAATCGTCAGTTTTTTTAATGGGAGCTTTTTTTAGGTTCACTTATCATACCCCTTGAAAATATGACGCGCACGAATAAATCCACTAAACAGCCCCTATCTCACAGTCTATTGGTTGTGATGCCGGGTTGTACTTGATGTTTCTGTTTGCTGGGCGGCGCGTGCGCAAATTTTATCTCGGTGTTCCGAATTGTGTTTTTTTTTCTTGTTTATTACGATTCTGGACTCTGCCGACCTGCATCAGTTATCTTGAATTTTTGGTATGATTTTTCTTTTATGAATCCGGCTTAAGCCCGGGACACATCTATCATGCATTCTTCCGATCCGACTCCGATCATACAATCAGGGTCCTTATTCTTGGAACAGGGAGCCGTATTCCCAGGCGTTCTCCTGGGAACGCTGTTCCCCTGTTCCAAGAATAAGGACCTTGATTGTATGATCGGAAGAATGTATGATAGATGTGTCCCGGCCTTTATTCGTGACATACCCGTGTGATGTTTTCAGCTTCTTTTCTATCTACACGGCGCGTGCGCAGATCATAACGCGGTACTGCCAGATTTTGTTGTTAGTCCCGGTTTGTTGCAGTGCCGCCGGCTTGCATCAGTTACCTTGGATTTGCGATATGAGGTCTCTGGTACTGGTGGCTTGTGCTATCCGTTGTTTGTTGAGTTGAATTTTCCAAACTGTTGATAAGTTTTGGACATGGCCTCGTTCGTTGATTGTTCTTGCTTTCTCGATTTTTTATATGGTTTCCCTTATTATCCGCGACTTCAAATAGTGGTATGTTTGCGATTTGTTTACAGTTATCGAAGTTGATGCCGTGGCCTGTTTGTAGATGATGTTGGTATGTGTAGCGTCAGAACTGAGCGCAAGCGCAACCTTGTGAAACCAATGCCCAGCGGAGACGAAAACGAAGGAAAACCTACGTCAAGTCAGTCTGTACCTGATTGCCCTAGCCACCGCAACGCTCTGTTTCCTTTACTTGTTACGTCACGACTCGGAAGCTAAAATACTATTTTATATTGACCAAGTACTTTCATACAGTATAAATAAATTTTATAATTAGCGGGAGTGTTTCATTAACCACTCAAACACAACAGTATGTAACAGAATAAGTTTGCCTTGCCGATATTCGTCAACGCACATGATATTTTATATAGGTATGCCTTGGTTTTTCAGATGTGCAAGGTTTTTTTGCTGGCTTATGTGATGAGATGCTAAGCCTTCGTAATATGCGTCCTTCTGTGATAATTGTTCATTTTACGTACTGCAATATTGTTCTGGTTTCTCTTGTTTCCGGTCTCTTCCCGCGTGGTCTGCTCTCTTGTTTCCGGAAGGCTTGCCGGATAGTTTTGTTTTTGTAGCCGTTTTGTTTGAGAGCTTCCATGATTCTCCTCATTTCCGTATCTAGCGATTGACGTGTTTGTTGCGACGACTTGGATTTGGGATGGATGGTGGTGTTATTCTGCATTTGGATTTGTTTTGTTTGCGATGAAGTGTAACTTTTAGCGTTTCGTCCGTTTTTTTAGATCACTGAACGTTGCTTTCTTCGTGCGTTTCCAAAGTGAATTCGATCTTCCTTGATCTCGAGTTTATGTACGTTAGAGAGTTGTTTAGCTCTTCTCGTCCATGCGGACAAATGATAAAGAAGTTGTCCACCTATCTGAATCAGAGTTTCGGCATTAAAATGTTGTCTTCTAATGCTTTCTTCTCAACGTAGATCACAAAAAGATTGGCGATTATCGGAGACACAACCCAGCGTGACACCGTGACAATATGTGATTGCGCCGCCCATTAAGAGGGCACTAACGTTGAAAATGCTATATGCTCTGGTTAGTTGATTTTTCGAAATCTGTTTTATGGTAGTCAAGAGAACAGCACATTAGAATAGACGGAAATTTAGCATAAGAATTATTTGTTCGGTTATCGACGATTAGACATTTTTAATTTTTCGATTATTATTATTTTTTTTTTCCATTCAAAAATCATAATATTTATATTTTTTTTCGATAAGTGCCTATTTGCAAAGTCAAAGCATATTTTCTATTATTATATTAAAGGCGGGTTTAAACAAATTTTGATAAATTTAAGTAAATGCGTAATTATTTCATAATTTAAGTAGTAATTAAATACATAACTCAAAACCCTAGTTTAACAGAACTCAAAATGTCCAGTTTTTTTTATAATTTAATGCATGAAAGTTAAGGCGAGTTTAGATGTGTAGATGGCGTGCGAGTAGATAGGTCGTAGTTGGTATTTGCTCCTAAATTTTCAAGTCAAAACGCCTGTTAACTTTAAAAATAATTACCGAAATCTATTGGAAGTATAAGTGCTAGTTTCTGCGCATAGAGTCGTGTAAGGTTTCCTGGAAAAGCTATTTTTTTGGTGTAGAAATACACTTGTGAAATATTCTATTGTCCGCCATAATGGGTCTATCATCCGCAGATCTAAGAGAGATAAAAGGTTGCATTATCTCAACATTCAATGATACATTTCTGCAAGATGTGGTTTCCAAAGTGGCTGCAATGGTAGACAAACAGTTAGAGGAGAAGTTGAAGGCCCAGGATGTGGAAATCGAAATGCTCAAAGAAAATCAAAACAAAATAATTGAGGAAAATATACAGCTGAGAAAAATTATCGATGATCAAGAGCAGCATGCGCGGAACTTAAACGTGCGCATCCATGGAATCAAGGTTGAAGATGGCGAAAATACCGAAAATCTGCGAACAAAGGTCTTGGAAGTGTTTACAAATAAATTGAAAATAAATCTGGTCGACTCGGTAATAAAAAAATGTCATCGTGTTTCTTCTATGGGTCCCAGCGATCAGCCTCCTGCAGTTTTAGTACGTTTCGCCTCGGATACATCGCGCTCTCAGGTGATAAGAAATCGAAAAAATTTAATAAGGGAAGACCTTACAAAAATCGCTTAGGCCTATTGAAGAGTGCAATTGACGTTTTTTCTAGTATCTGCGTGGGTGTTAACCCTTCGTCAGTGTGGTGGGGTATGGCATACCACAGGCGACCTTTATATCCTTGCATTTTCCAAATTTGAGTACGTGACGCCAGCTAGTGGCCAGTAGCTTGAGATATTGTGTTGATCTACATAATAAAATAACGCGAACCGCCAAATATTGTATCATTAGTGAATAAGGCGACATCAAAGGCGATTGGGGCATGTCATACCCCACCACACTGATCGTGTAACTATTTTCTGCAGAAGTAGATACGCAAGATATGTTATTTCTTATCAATTTTTCGCTTATAATACATTTTTTTATGTAGTTATAGTCGGATATCATGTCCTACGATGCAGACCAAGCTCATTTGCGAAAACTATGGGAAGAGGTAGATAGAGAAAAATCCTCGCCTCTGGACAAGCGAGACCAGGGTTTTGAGACCATTGAGTCAAAAAAATCAGCTTGGTCTCATGAAAAACTAAAACAAACGATGAAAAGTTTCATCAACATGTATGATTTGTCCTCGAGCTAAAGACAGGAAGATATTTCACTGCTATCAGAAATCTGGGACATCCGTATGCATGGGACATGAAAATTTACCTTTTTTGTCAAAACTGCATCGACTTTGATGCAGCCTAAAATTTTATGTATTCACTCTTTTAGGATAATTTTTTCAACATGATAATGACTCATGTTTTTTGATTTAAAATATTAAGCTTTTCTTTGTCCAGAACTCATTAAATAATTTCAAAACCAATAATAACTTCGCAGTATGTTTAATTGGATAAAAATACAGATTTACAATGATTATGTATTATGAAGCATTAAATAAAACATCTAAGAGTCCGTAGCATGTTTTTAATGAAATTAGTTCCATATATAAAATAAAGAAACTAATTAAATATTTATTTGATGCCACCTTAATTTGGAAAGCAAAAAAAAGTTTGGGGTATGACATACCCCACCACACTAACAATGGAAATTTTTTCTACCACACTGATGAAGAGTTAAACGGAAATATCTATATAAAATGCGAAAATGAAGTGCATCGTATCTCTGATAAATCAAAGTTAAGTGAGTTAAAAGAAAGCAGTGAGTAAATAGGGAAATATAAAGAAAGAACCTATTGTGTGCATAAAATTAAAATTATTGTTATTATTTGAACCTGTAAATTGGTAAGCGATTGAAATTGTTGTTACAAATTATATTGGTATTATTTTTCTTCATCTGAAAAGTTTTTTTGCCTATTGTTTTTTTGTTTACTAAGTACCTACTATATTTTCAAAAAGAAGACAAAAAAAAGCATGGCTTGAACAGCGTTTTGTTTATAAATTTTATTTTTCAAATTGAGCAGTACCGGCTTTCCTGGTAGCTAGTTAGAGTTTAATTTTCTTTTTTCTTTTCTATAAAATGAAAAATTTAAAGATAGGGCATTTAAATGTTCGTTCTTTGGCAACGGGATTTGATCATTTTCAATCAATGATTTTTAATTCAAAAATTGATGTCATGTGCATGTCGGAGACATGGTTAAATGATGAGGATTCAGATTTTGCTCAACCTTTGATAAGCTTTGATTATTCGATACCTAATTATACACTATTTGGGGTGAATAGGGATGGCAGGGGAGGAGGAGTTGGTATTTATGTTAGTAATAGTTTAAATTGTGCATACACGCTACAAGATTTCCCATCGATTGAGGGGTTGGAGCTTGTTTTCATTGAATTGATGATTGGAAAGGAGAAAATTTTAGTGGGATCAGTTTACAAACCCTCAAAGTCAAACCTACAAAAATGTGTTGATTATTTCGATGATCTGTTCTCTTTTATTGGTCCTCAATATAAAAATATTATTATTCTAGGTGACGTAACCGTGGACCATTATTTTGATAATATTCTTTTAGAATGCTTTTCTACCTACGACTTTGCTCAGTTGGTAAGCGAGCCCACCAGAATAACAAGCACCGCTCAGAAAATTATTGATGTTGTATATTTTAACCAACCCTCAATGTTAATAGATTGTATCACGCTCAACGCGGATTTGATTTCTGACCACAGAGCTATCATTTGTGAGTTAAATATATCCGTGGAAAAGTTCACTTTACACACTTGTTGCATAAATAACTATTTTTCAACACAAATCTTTTAAATTTATTTAATAAACATGCTCCTTTTGTAACGGCCAGGGTAATAAACCTATTTCTCCATGGATCGCGTGTAATATAAAATCCCTTATGAACCAGAGAAATAAAGCTTTGTCCAAATTTAAAAACACTAAAAATATTGGGGATTGGGCCTACTATAAAAAACTACGAAACACTGTGGGTTATGCTATACGGCAAGAAAAGAAATCTTTTCTTGAATTCCACCAAAGATCCAACAACAGTAAAGAACTGTGGAAGGCCATTAACAAGCTTAATTTGAAAAGAAGCGCAAATCGAGACCTACCTAAAAACTTACGTAACACAAGCGAAATAAATCAGTATTTTGCCTCAGTCTATGGTCAGCTTCATAATTGTACAGACACTGTGAAAGAGTTTTTAGATGCCAGGTACGAAGAAAACTTAAACTTTTCCTTCAATTTGGCAACAATGGAAGAAATAAAAAATATAATTTTGGATTTAAAATCCAACGCTTCTGGCTATGATGGTATATCAGCGCAGATGCTGAAATTATGCATAAACTTTCTTTTACCACACATTACAAACATTAGAAACTATTGTTTGGAGACAGGATACTTTCCGAATGCGTGGAAGATCTCAATAGTGAAACCATTACCTAAAATAAATCAACCACAGTCTTAGTCCGATCTGAGACCTATTTCATTAATACCTACATTGTCTAAAATTTTAGAAAAGCATATTCAACCGCAAATATATGATTTTTTTATTTTGAACAGCATAATTCCACAAACACAATCAGGCTTTCGAAAAGGCCATAGCACGACTTCCGTTCTTGCCAAACTTACAGACGAAATATTTACTGCTCTGGATGAAGGTTCATCTACTGCAGTGATAATGCTAAATTTTTCCAAAGCATTTGACACCCTTGATTTTGATCTTCTTTGTGCCAAACTAAGTTATTATGGATGTAATGATGTGGTCGTCAACTTTTTCAAGAACTATCTGGAAAACCGTGAACAGCAGGTGGTTATTCCAGATTGCGATTCTTCTGGGTTGGAAAATATAACGTCAGGGGTCCCACAAGGATCCGTTTTAGGCCCCATTCTTTTTTTAATTTACTCAGCTGACATGTTAAAAATGGTTGAAAATTGTCTAATTGGAGGTTTCGCTGATGATACAGAACTTTCTTATAGTTTTGATAGCAGTTTAGTTGAGCAAGCGTCCGAATCTATAAATATCAAGAAGTCTGGATTATGCTAATAAGAATAACCTTAAATTACATGCCTCTAAATGCTGTGTCATGGCCTTTTCACCAGAAAACAAGAAAGCATATATCAAATCAAATTTACGTATTTTTGTAGGTCCTACACAGCTAGAAATAGTCGACAAGGCAAAAAACCTAGGTATTACTTTTGATACAAATTTGAGATTCAATACCCACATTTCTACTATAAAAAAAGCGTATTTTGCATTAAAACCACTGTACTATAACAAATCAATCATCAATTTTAAGTTAAGTTAAGTTAAAAGGCTTTGCGAATCATTAGTTCTTCCGATTTTGAACTATTGCAATATAGTTGTCTTTCCATGTTTAGATAAAAAACTGCGGGCAGGCTGCAGAAATTTCAAAATGCTTGCTGTAGATTCGTCTATGGTTTGAAAAAATTTGACAGAGGTATATCCAAAAAAATCAACCAGCTAAGCTGGTTACGAATGGAAAATTTATTCATTTGTAACTTGACCGTGTTTGTACATAGAATGATTTCATCCTCCTCTCCTCCCTACCTTCGACAAAAACTAATTCAAAGAAGTCAAGTACATAGTATAAATCTCTAAGACACCTGAATGGGTTTACAATGCCTCAACATCATTTAACCAGTTTTCTCCGTAGTTTCACTTATAATGCAGTAAAACACTACAACAAGTATTCAAATATTGTTGAAAGTAAAAGTTGCAAATTTTCGAAAAAAATGTTAATGACCATTTATTATTGGAACAAGGGAACAAGGTTTGATCAGCTGAAAATCATACGTTTCTTTTTAATGGTAATGTAAAATACTGTTCTTTTTTTTGTATCTTTTTTTTTCAGGGTAACATTTCTGTTAGTTTCATTTTTATAGTGATTTAAATAATTATTTTGCTAGCTGTATATTCTGTACTACCATCTACATATATTTTCTTTTGTTAACTTAAAGGTTAAGTAGAGTAGCCTTAGAGCTAGACTTCGCCTATTTGTAAAAATGTATTACAATAAAGACGTTTCAATTCAATTCAATTCAAAAAAAAAAAGTTTAAACAACTTCATAACTTTAATTTAGTGCGTAACTCATAATTTAGTGCATAAGCTTTAGAGTTAAATTTATTATTTTCTATGGAAGCGGTTATACATCTATTTAATGCTAAATTCATAACTTAGTTCATGATGGATAACCTTGAAAGTTCCTGACTTTTAAATATTAGCTAACCACGCAAAATATGGAAAAATATTTTTAGATATTATCATTTTCAAAACCTGAATTTAAAAATGACGTCTATTCACGCATCCTGAAGTAGGAAAGCCGAATAAAAACCTGGCGTATCATCATAAACAGGTTAACGTTGAGCATAACTTTGTAAGCTTTAAATGGGCATTCATAAAAATATTAAGATTAATTAATTTGGATAGAAACAATAGCATTTCATATATGCATTAGTAAAAATATAAAGTCACCAAATTTTGCCTATCATTTTAAAATATCTTGGCTTTGACGTATCATCGGTAAGTTTAATGAATAGTTATTTGTCGGGAAGAAAGCAAAAA